GTTTTATGCCCGACGGACTCCCAAACACAAGACGGCTTACCTTCAGGTTACTAATCCGTTCACCCCGTCCCACGTGGGCTTAGCTGCGTAAACAGAAATAATAAAAACTTCTAGTCGATGGATATCTTCTACTCGCAAATTCAAGGTCTTACAACTGTAAAGCAGAATTGAAGAAACGGTAGCACAATATACACGGTCTTTCAACTTCAGTGAAACTGCCCGTCTACGCCAAAGGTGTTTCAGTCCTGCGTAGGCTGCTCGAGCCGTGGTGGTTCTCCTTTGCTGCAGTCATTGGTCACACAACTACCTAAGTAGGAAAAGCAATCCACAATAACTAATTCCTAGCCATTTAGTTTCAAAGCGGGAGCATGCGACACCCAGTCCTGCAGCATCGCTCTACACTTTGAAGGTTCAAAACATACTGAATGTGGCAACATCTCTTGTTAGTCTGTCAAGCGCTTTGCGCGTCCTCCAAACATTCGAACACACCGACCATGTCATCGGCGTACTCCAAATCACACAGCTTTTCTTCAGCTACCCATTCGATACCTACTTTTTGGAGACCACTTAGTCCGTGTTTCTATTATGTCGTCTACCACCAAACTTAACTAGATTAACCAGATTTGCTTCTGGAAACAGCCCTATCCTCGGGCTAGGATAGTAGCATCGATTTGCCCCCAGACTGTCTGATCTGGAATATGCAGACGACATTGTGCTTCTGAACGAAGATCTAGGTAAGTTGCAACCTTTTCGGGATAGCTTGATAGCCAGCGTAGCCATGTTCGGTATGTATTTTGTACCTTCAAAGTGTAGTGTTGCTCCAAGATTGGGTTGGTCCAGCACCCACCCTCATTCAGAAACTCGACCAATAAGAAAACAGGATAAAGATAGACTGTCAGTGTTTGAACACCACTGTCTACGCAGCCTTGCACAAGTCTGGTAGGGCAGCCGGACGAGTAATGCTGAGGATAGGCACAAAGTTTTAGGTAACCGCGGTCGTCCACTGGAGCAAGTGATCAACGAAATATTACGTTGATTGGGGCATGTGTTATGCATGTCACCAAATAGGTTGTCATGATGTTCGCCGGGGCACTTAGTGGGTGGAGTAAATCCACGGGTGGTCAACCTAAGACCTGGCAAGAGGATATGAAAACCTTAACCAGGAGACTGGGTCACACGGGTCACGAATTCGACCAACCTTTGATCAGTGATTATGCAAAAGCGTAAGCCAGTTCAACACTGCCGCTGTTTTCAGATTGCCTAAGAGATAGCACAGGCCTATTCCTCGACCGAGAGCGCCATTGTTCGGAAGATGTCAATGTTGAGTAGAAAACGCAACTGATTCCCGTTTTATTATAGTGCATATTCTATTGCTACATCCGAAGAATCGGTCTAAAACACTAGAGGAGTGTAAAGATCGACAGTTGTAATGACGGCTCGAACTACTTCGTTCTTCAGAACGTGATACGCAGCTACAACGTTTTTTGACAGCAGAATTGTACGGTTGTTGATCAATGGATTATTCATACCAGAGAGATTGAAACCCCTTAAGAGTAGCCCACTAATGCACTGCATAGATTTCTTATCACGAGTAATTGGCAGAACGGAAGAGGGTTGTAGACTATACGATTTGAGTTTGACAGATTTATGAGACAAAGTCTCACAGTATCTTGATTTTTATGAGACTCTTAGAGTCATTGAAGGTAAACATATTTGTGAGCATCGTAGTAGACGATATCTAGATTTCCTCTGTGCCCTTCTGAGGAATCACACAGGTATTATATCTAGATAGGCGGAAGTGGATTCCAAATGTTCTTTCCTTATTACGTTATCAATTACCTTTGAAAGATAGAGCACTATAGATGATGACAAGGGAAGTCCAGCGGAATTTATCCAAATCGTCACCCACTGTGAATGCCGTATACAATTTATTTTCGCACACTGAGCTGAAGGTCGTATACTGAGAGATTTCCTCTTCCATCTCACCCGTCTTGGGTCGAGAGTAGGCGTCCAAGAGTGAGAAGCAGTTGACAGTTCGACTGTAGTCAGCCGCTACTTTTTGCTCCTGGCTCTCATTGGTAGCAACAAGCACTTCCGTACGAAGGGAAATAGAAGACTCTGTAACAGCAGCAGCAGCAATTTTGATAAACAACTCGTCGGAAGGTGAATGCCTCTGAGATCTGGTTTCAATTGCAGTACAATGAGATGTAAGTTTGCTAAATACTGTAGACGGTTTGATGTTCGCAGAAGCTATTCTGCACACAAAAAATCATTGTCTCCATCGAATGGGGTTTGTATTTTTGAGGTCTTGTCCAAGGAACTTCTTTGAGCAAAGATTATTTAACTAAAAGTTCAATATTTGTATGACAATGGCTTCTGTACAACAAGTTAACCAGTGTCCGTGACAAAATCTGGTTGGGTCATAACCACAACACTACGAGAGCTTTTGACCATTCACGTATGTTCCCGTATCACGGTGTTTGAGGTGTAACTAGCAGAGCTACCAGTGTCGATTTACCATTTGTCATCCCGTTAAATCCATTTCAATAGCATGCATGCCAAAGCAAAAGTGATAACATTTTTGTCGCTAAAAATTCTGTCCACAATGAATGAAGAAGGTTCATTTTTGACTTGACCTGATTTGACTTGGAGAAATGCTCCGTTTGCAGAGATTTTAACGGCATCTTTATCTAGATATTTGAAGCGGGGATAGTTGATACACCCGCCGAAAAATCACCAAGTACTACTCATTGCAGCTGTGGATTGGGCTAACAAGGCATCAAGTTCGGTGTAGATTACTTTTGTGACTTTGGGTTAATGGTTGCAGCTGTTTGCTTGCTTTTTACTGGTAAGTTTGAGCGAACAACTCCGGCTTGAGGATAAGCCGGCTTCTTGGATACCTCAGATGATTACAGTCCCCGACTGGCGATCGGTGACAAGGTTAGCGCATTGTGAGACGCAGTTCTGGTTCCGGTTAGGAGTTCCATATACGAATTGGAGTCACAGTCGTTCCATG